GAGAGAGAGAGAGGGGTGGGGGTGGGGTGAGAGAGAAAGTGAATGGTTCTGTTTCGTTTGTTATTTTAAAGTACCTCAACATATGTGTTGTCGATAGCGAGGAATATCAAACTGAGGGAGACGACCAAAAGAGAAGACTAGACAGAAAGTTTTAGAATTGTAATCTTTAACGCATTGAGAGACGGTAACACTTGAGCAAAAAATTTGGGAAAATAACCGATTGCAAAGCAGTGATGCGACAGTAAAATATCATTCTCATAGGAACAATAACTTCACCATTTCTGAGTTGTAACAGTCGTGATAGAACCCATTGTTCCATTTGAAGTCAAAACCTAGCGTTTACCAATGTCTTGTTTGGAGGTAATTTAGAAAAGATATCTTTAACTTCTGATCAATTATCAAGAGTCAAATATCATTGATACTTGTGTATTTGGTGACTATTTAGATATGATAAGGAATTAGGAAAGAAGGATAATATAGTACAAGCATTTTCAGTTACATCCAATTCTTTTTCGATAAATATGTCAATTTTACCCACATTTTGCATACACCAGGTATTTAGTCATTCAAGCGGTAGTTTGGGTGTGAGACAGAATGTTGACTGCATAATGTCCAAGTTAGTGTTCATCTTGGCCTGAAAATGACACCTGGGAATGTGACGGGTCTGACTGAGGGTAGAGACAGTCTACGTTACCCCCCCCCCCCAAAAACACCCTCCAACCGTCCCCATGTCCTCGGGGGACAGTCAGCTGATAGTTGAGAGGAGAAGGAGGAAGTGGGATGGGGATGGGCAGGGGGGGGGAGGGAAGGGGAAAGGGGAGGGGGTTGGAATTGGAATGGCAGATTTTCTTTTTTCTTAGGGGGGAGGGAGGGGAGGGTCACGGATGGGGATGGAGGGGAGGGGGAGAGGAAAGAGGAGGGAATGGGGGATAGGGGATGGGATGGGTGAAGGGGTTGGACGGAAGAGGAAAGGGAAGGGGATGGACGGTGGGGTTTTTGGGGGGAGGGGGGAAGGAGGAGAGGGGAAGGAGGAGAGAGGAAGGTAGGGGGATGATGAATTAGGTAATTGACGTGGGTGGGAAATCGTATGGGTTCAAAGCCCCTTGCAGCGCTGTAAGGTTATTTAAGAAACGGGACCTCTGAACTGAACTCAACGTCTATTTCTGATAGGACTTCGACAGCGGAAACATTCGTGTAAAGTGCCTTTCTAAAGGGAACGACGCTAGACAAAAAGAAATAGCACACATTCTGCAATAGATACAAAGCTACAAGTACATGTGTATGCAAGTACATTAATACGCAAACAAATGTACGCACGTACACACAAGTACACACAAGTACACACACGTACACGAGTGCCCAAGTATACACGTAGCCTGTACAAAAGTACAAAAAAATACTACTACATTAGAGCCCAAAAATACAAGAACACAGGTACACAAGTATACAAATACACACACACACACACACACACACACACACACACATACACACACACACACACACACACACACACATACACACACATAAACACATATACACATTTTTGCACTCATGTTCACATGCGTTCGATGCAAACAAACAAATCAAATCTGCAACTCAAGCCAATTCGTGTTTGAACTAGTGCTCACACAAACCGCACAATCTGATAACGATTTAAATGTGGGCATGATGAATTGATACATTCTGGGCACAGCTTGAAATAACACCAAGACGCCTATATATGTGTATATGTATATTATTACACTCTTTCCTGACGTAGACCACACATACATTAAAAAAACCCAGACCAACGCAATGTTGCAGCATATTTGAACCATAACACACAACTAATCAGAAACGTCAACTTGCACATTGCAGAGTAGGAATGTTGTTATCGTTCCTTGAAGTTTCAGGGAACTTTGACCATGAATATCTTGACATTATTTCAGTCTCCCCTACTGCTCTAACAAACACTTGCCCAAGATAACAAACTAAAACAATTCCCACTTCCCTCTTCTTGCACGTTTTTTTTTCTATACTAACTCTATTTTGGGTCAAAATAAAAAAAGACATAGTTATATCTCGTAAGAAAAAGCAGCAGTATATCTGTTCATAGTAATGATTGAGTGAAGATCACACTGTCTAAGAAGACAAGCAGCCCTGTCTAAGAAGACGTCATTAGTTCCCCTCGACAACATAATATGATTGCCATGGAGAACTTAAGTTGCATCT